GGTTTATGCATTTGTACTGTGCTGTTACTGGTTAGTATGAAATCCCTAAACAGACATCTAACTAGGGATTGGAGTCCACGCCTTTTGCATCTCAGGGAGGTTTGTGTGCTGTTTTCTCTTTTGCAGGGCTGTTTTATTGGCAGTAGCTCAAATATCCTGCCTGTTAGCTCAAGCTATGGAAGCGGATCCCATGCAATTCAGAGCATATGGGAGGCAGCTGTGCTCGCTGAGGAACCTGCACAGCTTGGATACAAGCAAGTGCCTGGGGATGGGCAGGCGGCTTGCCAAAAGCTGAGAGGATTCCTGAGATGATCATGTCTGGATGCTGAGCACTGGATGTTTGACATTCATGCCGCCACATGGGAGGGGAGCAGGCCTAAGGAGGCTGAGGCCCTGCGAGGAAGGATGTGGCTTGGAATGAGGAGCAATGTGAAACAGAAGGCCAGTAGAATTGGTGGCGTGGGGTTTGGGGTCATAATTTTGAGTGGGTGAATGAGATGTCTTAAAGGAGGATGACTCTTATCTCTGTGAACATTTTAAGATGCTGCTAACAAGATGGAAGCTTAGCAACCACAATGCTAATACCTGTCTTGGAGCTGATGTCATCTCTAGTTGGACACTAAATTTAGTCTTTACAAAAGTAAGAATGAAAGTTGGGGGTCCAGTAAAGGCCTCTGTCTGTTCTGCTCCAATGTCCTCTTGAGAAAATACTATCAACTCCTTAAAACAGGAATAACAGTTTCAAGAAGCGTATCTTCTTCCTCCTTGGAAATGGCATCCATTTCCAAAAGGTCACATAATCGTAGAATCATTTGGATTGAAAGGGACTTTAAAGATCATCTGGTTCCAACCACCCTGCAATGGGCAGGGAAACGACTGATGATATGATGAAATGAGGGAAGCAGAAGTCTGATATGCCATGGGAACTCTGCCCTGAGGACAGTTTCTGTGGCAGCTTGACCCTGTCCTCATAATTTGCTCTACAGATATGTCTCTGTCCCTCCTACAAAGGCACCAGACTAGGAAGGATAACCAACACAATGCTTTTTCTTCTAAGCAGCTAGACAAGAGGGAATTGTAAGAAGTTGCAGGGCCTTTAGAAGCCAGCTGCTGTTCTGGAAGGCAGACATCCCAGGAAGCAGCCCCGCAGAAATCCCTGCCTCCTCCCCACTGCAACTGTCCCCTTGGGGGGGTCTTCTATTCCCTTCAGCCTTGCAGTACTATGGCTTCTTCTCCCCTGCACGAGGTCTCTGTCTCTCCTTTGTAAGCAGGTTCCTTGTACTTCCAAATTAATTTCTGGGAGACGTTCAGCAGACAGTCCTAGGGTCAGCGTGACAGTCAGTGGTGCCTGTCATTTCCCATAAAAACACCTCTATGAAATGAAAAACCTGACACACAACTGCTTGTACTAACACATCTCCCTTCCACCATTCCAGGGGTAGCCAGGAGGCTAACAAACAAAAAGAAAGAGAAAAGTGACACTCAGCCGGTATTTGAGGGTAGTGCATGCCCAGAGCCTCAGAATGCCCAGACTCTGGGCAACACAGGGTCCCGTGCTTCCCCCTCTCCCTACAGCAGTGGGAGCGACTGTGTTGCACACTTGTGCATCTGGCCCCGGCCACCAGCACTAGGATCACCTGTTGTGTGTGCCGAGACCCTCTGACAAGACATCAAGGGAGGAGGACAAACCTGGGGGGAGGCTGACTGTGGGATTTGAAATCCACCTGCTTTTGTAGTAGAAAAGATGGCTAAAAAAGAGTAGAGTTTTCAAGGCTGGCTCACTAACGCAGAGGAGCCTGGAGGGTTACTTAGAGCCCAGAGGGGAGGCTGTGCTCAAGGAAGATGGGGCAAGGGGGAAACATCAGCCAAACTGTTTGAGAGACTGCCTGGCAGGGTAGTCATCCCACAGTCCCTGTCAGCCACATGGGTATTTATTCAGAGGAAGCTTTTCTTAGCCCAAATCCATTTGGGTTTTTTCATCTCCCAGCTGGTATTTTCACTATCATTTCCTGAGCACTATTAAGAATTACGAAGACAAATATAACCTGTCTATTATGCTGCAGCCGACACAAACTTTCAAAATAGAATATTTACTGCATAATCTTGAAAATAGCATTATTCTCTTTGGCATTAGTCTCCCTGCTGGGGAAATGCTTTTATTGGATTTTTGCATAATCTGTTTTGATACTACAATTGGATTCTGGTTCATACATCCTCTCTCCTCCTTAATGCCTCACAGATGCAGGGGAGGAACCTGCATCGGTATGAATGATGTGGCAAAGACCGGGCATATTGCTTACATTTCTTCATGCAATAGCATATTTAATTAAAAAAACACCCAAACAACCAAAACAAACAGACAACCCCCCTAAGCCATCAATTGGTAGAAGCAGGCTCATATTCACTGTGGCAGTATAATGACTATATTGAAATTACTATTTTGTTTTCTTTCACTCATAATAGTTGCTCATGAAAAGAACAGATACAACACTTCTTTCTGTAATCATTCTTCCTTGATATGTCTCAAGGCTCTAGACATTCCTGTTATTAGTTATTTATTTTTCCAATACAAGAGACATCATATTTTGTTTTCACTTTCCTATTAAGAGCTTGGATCTCTTGGGTAGCATCAAAGCTTACAATCTAAGCTATTGAAATGATTTTGCTTAAAACTTCCCAAACTCCATTTTGAGTTTTGAGTAATGCACAGGAGCACAGTGGTGATGTGCTATGGCAAAGCAACCTGCTATATTTTTATATCGTACTGTAGAAACAAGGAACCTTGGGACATCACTGAAAAAATAATGTAACGCCTCTTGAATTTTGAGTTGTAAACTATGTACGGTATTGATTAATTGTCCCCATTGAGAGACAAGGTACAATTAGCATGAAAATGGCAGTGTGTCATACTGACAACGGGGAAGCAGAAGGAGGACTGTAGGAGCAGAGACTAACGTGCATCAAGTGATGTAAGATTCCTGCTACTGAAAACAAAATGTTTATTATGACAAACTTGGCATTAGAAAAAAATCAGAGGCTTCGCAATCCAGAAAAATATTTAAATGAGTTGAAAAACAATTATTGCTTTTACTGAAAATTAATTTGTGACTTGTTTGCAGCAATGCAGATAATGCGTCCACTGTGGCTTCTCAAGGATGAAGTCCTCATATGATAAGAATATGTTCATACATTCATGTGAACGACTGAAGTAAGAGTATCTTCACTTTAAAGATAACTCATAAAGATAGCTCACTTTAAAGTAGCAGCAATAAACCAAAAATACTATGAAGCTAATGCTTTCCCATTCTGCTGGAGGAAAAGGGGGGTAAGAGGGTTTTTAAAAATTTGCTAAAAACAAGAAACATGAAAGTATATGGTTAACTAATTATGATCTTTAAAGTGTAAAGTTTAGTGTAGCTCAGTTTTCCCCCTCATTACCTATTTTCTTAAGTAATAGAGACACCAAAACCATCTGCCTGGCTCCTACTCTAGATACAGCATACAGACCGAAGTTTAGAAGGTTATGTTTGAATTTTAAATGGGGTAGACTGAAATATTAATGATTCCTCAGCTTAGAAGAGCCTAAAATAGATTGTCAAGTGAGTAGTGCTGAGGTTAGCCTGTTCTGGGAAAAAATCTACAGCTCTTTCTAATTCTGTTGTGATCTCAAAATGTAACCAAACCACAAGAACTGAATGTCCCTAAAGTGAGAAGAAACTCTTTTAAGCGGAGAAAACTAAACAGAGGGAGTAGTACTGCTGATGCTTGAAGAATTAACATTTCTCACCCCTTCCTAGGTTGGCGCTCCAGGCTGGAGGAACAGCTGGACATTTCTGTATTTTGTGTGTGTGTGCACACATGTCCATGCATACACAGACCCTCCTTCTGGAAGGACACACTCAGGCTCTGTCTCCTCTCTGGATCTGGGGACAGGGAACTTCAGCAGCTGCACTGAAGCCCAAATAATTGTTTCCCCTTGGCCTTGTACTTCCCTGGTGCAGCTGGAACATGGCGTGCAGGGAAGTGCTGGTGTTTCTGTCCCAGTGAAGTTTCTCTGCCACTCGATTCTCAGTTCATGGGGCTCTCCTGGCATTGCTGCTACTGCTGGAGTGTGGGGACACAAAACACCCTCTCAAAGCTTATTTCCCCTTGTCCACCTGCCCCTGCCAGCCTCGAGACTTGGTGCCTTTGGGTGCTCTGCAGCCCACCATGCAAAGGGCTCTGTTCTCTGGGGCAAGCCTGCTGTGAGACAGGGCTGCCAGACTCCCTTCTGCCCCTTTCTGTGGCTTCCCAGGGCAGCCCCTGGGGATGGGGATGCTCTCTGGGGTGTGCAGTGGCTGCCCGTGTGGAGGGCAGGGGGACAACGAGGTGGGAGGCTCGGGAGGTTGCACTGGTGTGACTGCACCATCTAGTGCTGTCCCTGCACAGCCACCACTGGACACACGGCCTAAAGGAGACTCAGCTGGGATTTCCTCACAAAAAGAAACCAAAAGAAAAAACGACCTAGGTTGTACCTCAAACATGAGTAGAACCATACATCTTTCATAACCCCAAAATCCGGATAAATTGATGAGTCAAAGGCAGTAACTTCTAGACATTGTCTTTCCAGTTAACTTAGCTTCCATCCAGCTTAGGCAGCTGTTAAAGAGAAAAAAGCAGGAGACAGCACTAGCTTCCATCAGTGATACAGATGCACAAAACACACACATGAAATAATGAGCTGCTTCAGTGGGCTCTAAAGGGAAAACTGGTTCAGTTCTAGATCACTGCTGTATTCAGGACCAGCCTGAATAAAGTCAGAAAATGATAAGGCAAGAGCAGAAATAGAGCCCAGCCCCACAGGAGCTGCTCACTCTGCTCCTGCTCAGCGCTGCCCTAAGGCCTGCCCAGTGCTGGGAGAAGCAACTGTGGCAAGCAGGAAGAGTGGCAACTGTGCTCGCAGGGGGGGCCAGAAAGAGATCAGTTCTGCTGTGCCTGCAGGCTTACAAAAGTAACTGTCTTGTGGCTTCTGATAAGTCTGAAAGTCTTCAGGCCTCAGAGCTGGGAGTCAGGAATACACCATTTTACCCTTAAAAGCCTTTGGCAGCAGGTCCAGCAGAAGCTGGACTGCTGAGGCTCTCCTGCTTCCTGGGGTGACAGAGGGAACACCCGCATTGTGATGTAAAGGAAGCTGAGTGGAGCACTGGAATCATTAGCCTTAGCCAAGGTTAAGGGGTAAAGCCTTCCAAGAGGTTCTCCAGAGCATGTTTGCAGATATACAAGTATATACCACAAATGGTAAAAAATAGAGGAGAACCTCAAGTAAAACAAAGCTAATGGAAAATAGCCTGACTGTCTCTATGCGAAAAGGAGAAAACAAAATGGGGAAATAGAATAGCATCACTGAGCATAAGTGGTTTTGGACAATGTACTGAGATAAAGAGCAAACTCTGAATCAGTTAGATGTAAAGATAACACCTGTTTTACAGCAATTAGCTGAGTTTCCCTCATCCACTCTTCATGTTAGTACTCTGGGATCTATACCTGGAGACAGTGGCCTATATATAGATAGTACGACTTAGAAAAAGTAATTGTTACAGCAGAGGATTTTAGGCATGTGGTCTTATGGATACCCAAATGGCAAGTGGCAACTAACAGCAGACTATGGAGGCCTGACAGCTGCTGCCAAACCACTCATTGCCTCTGTTCCCAGCAGGGCTGTTATAGTCAGTCCTCTTAATGATGGAGGGCATCTACTGACATGAAAGAAATGTTTTTGATGACCCCAGCACCAGGGGCAGATCGGAGGAGGTTTGCTTTCATCTGGCAGGGACTTCACAATACATTTACTCGTCTATCCCAAATCTTAAACCATAGCCCTAGCATACCTGTAGCTCACGCTACATTGGCTGAAGAGCTGGAAATGTTAAAATTTCCACAAGAGGTCACTGTGAGGCAGTGCATCGGGGATGCCTTAAGAGGTGGCCACTTCGTAAAACCTGTAAAGACTACAAACACTTGCTACCCCCACAATCAACTGGGGTAGAGATACCAGAAGAAGAGGAACAAGGGCCCAATCACAAATTCATCTTTTGGAGAGTCAGATGGACAGGTGGGAGAAAAACATATGCTACAAGAAATCCAATAGTTACCCCTGTCCCAGAATAAGAAATGAGTTATGTGCTGTGCTTGGAACTTCAGGATCTTGGAGGGCACATATTCCAGGATTTGGCATAATAGCCTGACTACTCCATAACTTATTAGAGAAAAAATGCAGTCTGTGAATGGACCCTACAACATAAAAAGGCTCCTAGAGCTGTTAAAGAAAACCATAAATGTGTATCAGTCACTAGTGTTCATCTATCTTATGTGGCCACTCTCACTACAGGTCCAGGAGAGAGAGAAGGGGTATTGCTGGGGACTAGAGCAATAGTGACTGCCTGGATCCATGCAACATCACATTACTTTGGGTTCCAAATCACAGCAGAAGTTTACATTTGTGTAAGAATGCAGTCAGACATAATGATAAGACCATTATTAAATAATTATGAAAAGAAAAATGATTTTGAATAGGAAACCAGAGATTATGACTTTACAGGAAGATTGTGAAGCTGGGCAGTGGGGTCTTGGAGAAGGCAAATACACTTCCCCTCTAATGAAGCTTTTTGAAAGTTGAAAAGAGCATGAGTGTTTATTTCCATGGTAAGCATGGAGTGCCTCACTCCAGCTCACAAAGCTTTTTGCATCTCAGTGAAATGCATCAGAAAATGTGATAGGTATAGTCTCTCCCTAGACCATTTTCTGCACTTGCTTAAGTGAGACCTTCGTTATCTCCATCTCTAAGAACTGCTTGGGAAAGTAAGATCATCTTGAGAGAGTAAAGTTGTCATTACTAAAACTTCCTCAATTCTCTTCTTTCTGTCAGATACACTGAGCATTCATGTGCCATTTGGAGAGATGCCAGTTTTAGAGAAGAACTGGCAAGGCTATGGCAGAGCCAGAAGCTTTATCCACGAGGCTTAATTCAGGGATGCTGACAGTTGCTCTTTGAAGACCTCACCTTTTTGTCATGGTTATTAATAAGCAATGCCTTTAATGCTCAGTATAGCTACGCGTGTGCTCCATGCAAAGGTCTGAACAACCAACCCAAGATCATGGCAGGTATCTCAACACAATCCCCTCACAGAGGGCAGCAGGGACTTCCCTGCCTCCTTCTCCCATTTTGTATCAGGAAACAGGGACAGAAAGAGGAGCATCTCCTAAGCATGCTCTCAGGTGAAAGAGAAAACTGATCCTGAAATTACGGAAGAAAAGACAGAGAGAGAAAGGGAGAAAATCATATTCTGTTTAGTACTGCAGTGCTTGAAATATTTGTTTGGTGCCATTCCAGCTGAATAGGCAGTGTCTTGTGCCTGCTCTCTCCATCAGAGAGAGAGCAGACTTTTTGCAGGCTCCCTCTTCCTTTGGCAGCTCTTTTGCAGCCCCACTGTTGTGAGAGGCTCCCACTCTGTTTCTCTCCCAATCCTAACCCTAATCCTTGTCCTAGTTTTGGCTGGGATAGAGTTAATTTTCTTCCTAGTAGCTGGTACAGTGCTGCTTGTTTGGATTCAGTAAAAGAATAATGTTGATAACACAGATGCTTTAATTGTTGCTGAGTAGTACTTACCCTAAGTCAAAGTTTCAGTTTCCCTTGCTCTGCCAGTGAGGAGGTGCATGAGAAGCTAGGAAGGAGCACAGCCAGGACAGCTGACCTGAACCAGTTTGAGAGTGCTGGGGTTGTGGCCTTCTTGACAGGTCCAGCATGGCTACCACACTGTGTGGCTTTGTCACCAAAGGCCCTGTCAGCTGGAGAGGCAGTGTGAATCCTGGACGTAACCATTGCTTCAGCAGGTGCTTGACTTCCCTGTAGTCTCTCTTGGGTTTCTGTGATTCTGAGCAATTCACCCATGCAATCTTAATACATTTCTTGTTGCAGAATGATACCAAGAAATGCACCTTCTTAGTTCCTTTACACACTGAAGAAGAATTTTGCCACTCAGATGGTAGTTTTTAAACACAAACTGAGGAACTGCCCTCATCTATAGCATTCTGCAAGCTGGCACTTCTGCAAAACCACCTACATCACTTCAGTCAGAGCATTTCAGTTCTATCCAGGAGACCCCTTAAACCCTGGAGTGTTAGTACTCCTTATGCTCAGTGGCAGAGACATCAGTGTTAAGTACCACTGGCCAATGCCAGTAGTAGTAGTATCTCTATGTTCCAGTTTTCAGAGCCATGTTTAATCGCGTTCCTTGACAGCAATAGGAAATAGATGTGCTCATTTCTCACGTAAGAGTCACCACAGAGGTGTGGCACTGCAAGGGAGTACTGCTACTGGCAGCTACGTGACAGAGCAAATAAATCCTCTTGGCAGCAGCGGCTGCACTTTTTTCCTCTCACCATGCAAAACCTCAGCTCCTGTAAGCACTCTGGAGGAGACCACCAGCATGGCCAGACATAGAGTAAACCATCACCTCACACTTCCTTGCTGTAGTATCAGAAGCAGGAAAACGTTTTCTACGATGTTGCAACACTAGCTGACTTTCTCATGGGTCTACCAAGGACTTGTGCTGAGACACAAATACAGGTCTTGACAACTTTTAATTTCTTCAGGGCAACTTTTCTAGAGCAGAAAACAACTCCTTTAGGAGAAAGAGGATCAATCTATGATACTTTCTAAAGGGGGAAAAAGCAACAATACAACCATCATTTCCAAATTCCTAGCATGATCTTTTTAAGACAGATACAAATCCCATGCTGAGAGATTTCTGCCCCTCGAGCTAATGAGAACTGAAGATGGTGCTCCCATTCTTTGGGGAAAGTACATTGCATCTGGTAGCACTTTGTTTTGCCCTGCTGGCAGGAGCAAGGGGAAAGCACTAACCCTAAGAGAAGAACTATCATCAGAGTGCTGCTACCCCTAGGCTGGCAGAGCAGAAGCCATGTGTTCTCAATTCCATTGGTGACAGACACTGAAAGGCAGAAGTTCTTGCTTCCACCCTTGTTGTAAGATGGGGGCATGGACTGCACAGAACCATAGAATCATTTAGGTTGAAACTGTTGTACTTGAAAGCTGCCCAAGTGACATACCTGCCTTGCACAGTTATTGCAGAAACCTCTGCAATGTCAAAATCCTCTATAAATGTAAAATATCTCTGTGTTACATCTGTGCCTTGGACGTTTCCACTCTTTTAAGAGGAAACTATTAATATAATGTAAAAAAATCCCAAACCTAAACAAAAAAAACCAAACCCCACCCCCAAACAGGAAAGGTGGTGTCCTTAGAGTCATGGTCACAGCTTCACAGTTTAGGTGGCTGCTTCCTGAGTAACTTCTCAGTTGTCTTTTAGACTCTCCCCATTTAGTCTGAGCTGCTGTTTCACTACATGTTAGCTCTCCACTCTGCATGGCACAGCTCTGCATGCAGATGAAAGCTGATCCAGATTTCAGCTGATTTCTTCTGCTGATTTTTGCTTTTGTTCCTCTTGCAGCAGATGGAACTCAGACAAGACAAGTGATATTGTGGCCCTTTGCTCTGAGACACTTCCTATATGACAGGAGAGTGATGCAACAGTCACATCCCTCAAGTCATGCCTGTGTTATGTTTTTTTTAAATTAATATCATACTACAGTTTTGTTGAAAAAGAGTAAGAAGGGCATAAATATTTTGAACTTCAATAAACTTGGTGAACAAGAATGAAGTTTCTCTGAATGTTCTTTTTCAGTTCTTGTAGACAAACCAGGACTTGTCCTGGGTCTCTTGCTGTTATCAATATTGCCAAAGATGTCTCAAAATGAAAAAAAAAAAAAATTCTGCATAAGAATGCAATATCAAAGATGATGATGATGATGATGATGATGAGTAGTATTATTATTATTAAACAACTAGGACCATGCCTGTGTGTGGAGAGCTGTGTGCCAGCAACTGGAGTAGTGCTGGTTGAGTGATATGGCATCACCTTCCTTTCCTCATTAGCTGCAAATCACATGCTTTGAGTAACTATTTTCCTTTACATCCTTCAAGTACTGCTGTTGGGGTGGAAGGACCTGACCCTGTGTGTGTGTAGCCCTCCCCATTTTCCAGACTTTCCTCTTTTGTAGGACAACCAGGAAAGACCTGCTCCTGCTGGAATGGGAAGCTCATGCTGACAGTTTAACACCAAAAGAAAGGTTGTAACCAGTGTCCCTATTCAGGGCTGCCTAAAAGCCTGCATTTGTCCTCATCTAGGGTTGCATGAGCAGTGGCTGAGTAACAATGTTCCCATGAAATCGACCCAATTTGAAGTCAGTTGCTTCTGGAAGGAAATGGTCTTGGTCAGTTCTAAATGGTAGATGTGACAGTGTAATTTATATAAATAAATAAACATATAATAGAATATAAAATTTAATAAAATTTTAAATTGTATATTTTCTTGTCAGTGAAGATGTGAAAAGGTCCCCCCTTGTCTACCTGCCCCTGCCAGCCTTGGGACTCGGTGCCTTTGGGTGCTCTGCAGCCCACCATGCAAAGGGCTCTGTTCTCTGGGGCAAGCCTGCTGTGAGATAGGGCTGCCAGACTCCCTTCTGCCCCTTTCTGTGGCTTCCCAGGGCAGCCCCTGGGGATGGGGATGCTCTCTGGGGTGTGCAGTGGCTGCCCCTGTGGAGGGCAGGGGGACAACGAGGTGGGAGGCTCGGGAGGTTGCACTGGTGTGACTGCACCATCTAGTGCTGTCCCTGCACAGCCACCGCTGGACACGCAGCCATTAATGGGCAATAACGAGCTGCTTCAGCGGGCTCTGTGAGGAAAATGCAGGTTCAGTTCTAGATCGCTGCTGCATTCAGGCCCAGCCTGAATCAAGTCAGGAAATGATAAGGCAACAGCAGAAGTAGGGCCCAGACCCACAGCAGCTGCTCACTCAGCTCCTGCTCAGTGCTGCCCTAAGGTACAGTCCCACCAAGGCCTGGCCTGTGCTGGGAGAAGGGCCTAACAGGGAGAGTGGCATCTGTGCTGGTACTGAGGCCGGAAAGAGATCAGGTCTGCTGAGCCTGCAGCCTTGAAAAAGTAACTAGTTTGGTAGCTTCTGATAAGTCTGAAAGGCTTCAGAGCAAACTGCAACAAGGCACAGGGAAGGTGCAATTAGGCAAGGTTTCCAAGCTGGGAGGCAGGACTACATGTTTACCCCAAAAGCCTTTGGCAGCAGGTCCAGTAGAAGCCAGGCTGCTGAGGCTCTCCTGCTTCCTGGGGTAATAGAGGGGACACCTGCAGCGTGATGGAAAGGAAGGATAAGCACTCTCTCTTGCTCATAAGCATGCTGGTTAGTAATTTTCTGAGTTAATGACTATGTGAATTGTTGAAGCAGTACATTAGAGAATTGAAAGATCAGACTAGTTTATCAAAAGAGGATTGAGCCCTGGTTTGATTTTCACCTAATAAGGTCATGAAATAAAGCTTGACTGACAGAGTACATTGTCCTGTGAATTTAAGAGACCCAAATGAACCATAGCAATCCATAAAATAGTTCATTGCTGAAACTAGAATTATACAATACAGTAGTAACAAAGTAGAAAATGCTTTAACCATGTGGTTGAGAGATTAAGGATCACTGTAGAAGGCAACATGGATTTATCAGGAAGTTCTCTTAGAAAGTGTGGGAGCTGCTTCAAAATGGGACCTGACACAGTCAACAGATTGGAGACAGTCTCTGGATCTATGCTGATGCATGCTGGAGTGGTGGGTACCTCCTCCACACTCCACAGAGCAATACAGTAAGTGAACTTCTGTGTTAATGTGCATTTTGTGGCTCTGCTTCTCTCTTCTCTGAGTAGATTGCCTAAGGTTCAGTTTTGGCCCAGGCAATCAGCATGGACTGAATTAGAGGAAGTCCTGCTGGCAGCTCCTTTGGCACAAGGGCTACAACACAGGCACTGCAAAGAGTGACAACAGTCACTGACAGCTGCTCCAAGCTCTGCATCTTGGCACATGTGACCTGTTCAAACACACAGACACCATGGTAGCAAGGCTGTACTGCAGAGGAAGTGTGTTTTGTGGTTTTGGTTAAATTTCATCAATATCTGTCCTTTTTAATGGCAAGCTTGATAGAAACCCATATTTAAGGACAGTCAGTTTCCCTTACTTCTAGAGAGGATCACAGATCATTTGGCAAATACACGTTAATGAAGGGTGCTGCAAAAGACTTCTTGCCTTTTCCTGTTTTGTTCTCCTATTCTTTTTGTTTTGGGATTATTTTTGTTTGTTTGTTTTATTTTGTTTGTATTCAGTGACTTGAATACTACTACTTCATAGCTATGAAGTATCTTGCCACATGAAAACATTTGTTGACTTTTAAGAAGCACTAAATAAGAGAGTCAATGACAGAATTATAAAATTAATTCTTCCCTTATTTGTGTGTAAAGATTAAAAGGTGTAGAAATACAATCAAGGAAAATTACTTTGACGGTTAAGAATGAATCAATTTGATCTTCAACTGCTTGGGCTGAAGACATCTAAAGAACTATATTACTCTCTAAAAATGTAAAGTACCCAAACAAGGTAATCCTGCTGTTAAGCAGATTGGGAAAAAAAACTCCAAGGGATTGTGATGCCACCGGGCACCACAGCACCTGCTCTTGTCTAACCAGGTTTCCTTTAATTAATGTAAAAAATTTTGCAATGTCAAAGAAGTTATTTAAGGCTAACAGAAAGAAATCTATTTTTTTAACTCTTGCAACTGACCATGTTTTGTGACTGAGGCTGTTATTTTATGGGATTTGGAGCTCAAGAGCCAGCTGGCAGATTTTCTAAACATCAGGACAGCAACTGAAGGCCCTGCAGTGTAAAAGGGAGCACAATTCTAAGTATTCAATGTTTGTAACACTAGTATCTTCTAATAAATTCTCCCCCTGCAGAAGCAGAATGATTATCAGACCAGGGATCAAGAAGATACTTGACACAAAAATATCGATTGCAGCAGACTGCAAACTTCACTTTCAGAAGTGATAATCCTCTGTTCTTTCTACGGAGCAGATAGATTTGTAAGTGTTTGGTACTTCTGAAGTCGAGGCAGAGATGTCAAGTGACATGCCTAGGAAATTCACTTTGAAGGTACTCCTTTGGAAAAAAATGGGGCTGAAGTTCAAGCCCACAGCCTTGAATGATGGCAGATTTTCACCAGACTTCCTTACAGTTGCTTCCAAGCTGCCTGGTTTCATTGGTAGAAAATTCACAACTTCAGCAGGTGAGCAAGACTGAACGAATAATGAGCAAGTCAGTCACAAATTTCTGAGTCAAACGCTGAAAGATAAACCCTCTAAGAAGTTATCTCTACCTGTAACAATAATTCAGAGCATTTTAACAAAGAAGCTTGAACAAAACTGTAATTGTGCTGTAATTATGCAGACTCTTGATGCAAATGTTAATAACCAGAATATACTGTTCCTGATTTGTTGTAGAGGAACAAAACTGCTCGAGTAGTTGAAAGGTATTGACTTAAACATCACTATAGAGCATCAGACAATAAAGGGTACTTAAAATAAACCATTATCATAGCTGAACACATATTAAAACAGTCTCTTTATTGTGATTATTTTTTCTTTTTACCCGACAGTGTTATTTCTTAAGAATAAATATTAACAGGTGAAAGTATCTCTGCTGGGCCTGCAAATTCACGTTCCTTGCAGCAGTACTGTCATAACCAACTATTTCGCTGGCTTCTTGTTCCCTGCCCTACCCTGCTCCCTCTTTCTGGGCAGTACATCAGCTGCAAGGCCACCCTGCCCACCAGATGAGGGACCTGCCCAAGCAGGAGTCACCACTTCCAACCTTCTACATCCTGGATGTTGCCAGTAGCCACACTGGCTTCAGTAACCCTCCTCCCTGTTCACCTCTGCCCTTGCACAATCCATTAGTTGATCAAAACCTTCAGCAGAGCTAAAATAGGGAAAATACTTGACAGAAAAACAGCATTTTTTAAGACTAGTTGTTTTTCACTTGAGCCCATTCAACATGCAATGATCTCCAAACAGTGGACAAGGAGCGATGAGAGCAGGAATAAGGTAAGGGGCTGATGAATGTCTCACAAAAAATGGTGCAGCCACATGTACCCACAATAGAACCAGCCACCTGGGGAGCTGAGCTAAACTCTTGTACTCTGTCGTAGAGCAGAGCTAGAGCTCTGGGGAAAATAAAAAAAAAAGGAGAAAAAAGAAAAAGAGCATCTGATTAAGCAGTAACTAGCAGCTAAGGCAGCAGCACCTTGAGCAGCTGCAGCCATTTTGGAAATGAACTTGTCACTAGCCCCTAAACAACAGACACCTCAAAAGCTGACTTTACCCTGAATGAGGAAAGATTTATTCTTCTGTTTTTCTACTCTGAGAGCATTTCAGACTAAGTAAGATGAAATAAAAAATGTTTTTAAACAATGTATATTGGTAGATGAAGATCCTAAAAAAGTTTTAAAATGGGTAACTCTAAAATAACTCTATAAGATGTTATTTTTTTACTTCAAAACACTTCCATACTTTAAAGCAAAATCCATTGATTTTAAATCTATTATTCTAATACAAGGGAGATAATAAAATCAATACCACTTTCTTTACGACAGTT